CGTCCGATACCCGCTTTCCATCAACGTGCGGATCGCCGGCCTGTATAGCGGGCCGGAATTGGAGTTGCCCACCGTCAGCTCGGCCGGTTTGCGTATGTAGATATTAACCTCCACCTCCGTGCCATTAACACACGAAAGCTGGTGGATCGTGTTGCCCACCGAAAGGAAGATGCTCGTGCCGTCCTCCATCGCCTGGTCGCGTGAGAAAATGTCGGCGATCCGCAGCAGCCTCTGCCCAAACGCCTTGGCGACGGACGGGCCAATGACTACTTGGAAGCCTTGTGAGAAACGGAGACTGATCAATTCCCGTAGGAACTCCTCTCTTGATTTCGGCTCCTCGGTAAGCTCGTCATCGGCATTCTGTGCAATGACATACGGCTGCCTCTGGTACTCCGTGTCAAACTGTGATTTTGAAGGAAAGTACTCGGTCGTGAGCGGCACAGCGGCCGGACAGCACAGGGCCTTCCACTTCATGACCTTCATCTCCGAAGTCCGGGGGAAAACATGTTGCCACCTGCTGTAGAGCACCGTGTCGTCCACTTTGTTCCTGTCCGGATTCGACGGGTTCAGCACCGTGAGCCAAGGCGAGATGGCCGTCGTCGGCGACAACGTGGACGGCAGTTCGGGCATAGCACCAGCGCGCAGCTTACTATTGAACATTTTCTGATTGTCTTCCTCTGCCCTGAACACGTGAGAATTCCTCTGGTCGGGGTCCTCCCGGAAATGATCCTTGCGCGCCAGCGACGACGACGGCAGAACGGTCCCGTATCTATGCTGCTGGCCGACCGAGCTCTCGCCCCGCCGCGAGGAGGATTTCATGTTGATGGGGATGCTCGGCGTCGAGGGCAAGTCTGTGAGGGTATCCCGCGAATCCGACCGGAACAGCTGCGGCGAGAACGAGGACATGGCCGTCGAAATACTCGGCTTGATGACCTGCGGCGACGACGGGCGCGGCATCGTCGACATGACCAGCGGCATCGTGGGACTCGTCACGCTTTGCTCCGTTGAAGCCTTGACCGTCTCGAAGCTCGCCTCCGCCGCCACCACCTTGGGCGCCGCGATGCCGAAGCCCCGCAGGCCGAGACTGATCTGTCGCATAAATCTAGGAGGCTTGGACGGCGATGCTACAGACATCTTACCCGCCACGCTGTGAGAATCGGGGGTCGTCGACGAGGAAGTGGAAGACGACGTCTGATGAGATGATGTCCCCGCCGCACCCGCGGATGGTGCCGCCGGGGGGTGGTTCGCAGCCTTCCTCGCAGCGGCCACAATCTCCGCCTTTTCACTATCGACAATGTTGACCGATAACTTGCGCCCCGCCGTGACGGCCGCGAGGCTCTGGTTTGGTACAATCTTTTTCTCGGGCAGCGACGTCCCAAACAGCCCAGCGTCCTCCATCAGCTGCCGCCTCGTCGTCTCCTCTAAGTCTCTTGAGGCTCTTGCCTGCGCAGGCCGCCGCGACCTCGGCAATCTCGCCCTAGTCTCGTCATACTCCTGCAGCTGCTTCCACAGCGACTTCTCGCCCGGCTTCACGAGCCTGTCGGGCATGAACTTTTGGAACCCGTACACATGGTCCACGAGCGTGTCCTGGTGGCGCTTCAGGGGTATCATGGCGATCTCGTCTGTCCCGCTGAGCCGCGACCGTAGCGAGCTCTTAGACTCGGTCGTCGTCACAGGGAACAGCGGGTCAGCCTGAAGCGGTGTCGTCTCGATCTCGTTCGTCTCCAAGACGCTGCGCATCTGAAGATCATACATCCTGGCGCGAATAGCAAAGTCTTCGCTCTCATGGCCCTCCTTGTCCTCGGACACCGAGAGGGCGATGCCTTGATACGACAGCGCCTCTTCGGATGTCCCGGTCCAGTAGGAGACGTGCAGCCATTGTGGCACCGCATACGACCACTCGTCCTGCGGATTCGCAAGCCTGTCGATGCGGTGAGCGAGCTCGAGTCCCTTTGTCGGTGACAGCGACTCGGCCATCGACTGGTAACTGCCGATGATGGGCGTGGCCTGCTGCTTCGGCGTGCTCTCGCGGCTCCGTACGGATCTCGATCTCGACAGGCCGTGAGAGCCCTCCGAGGTCTGCGGGTTGCGGTACCGGAAGAGCGGGACGGAGTGGAGCGGCATCTTTGGCACGCAGATGAGGTCGATGCCGATTCCGTTGCCGACGAGGGCCTCGGTGGTCCGGCGCAGAGACTCGTATTCAACCTCGAATACGCCGGGCCCGGGACTAATGACCACAATCGAGATGCCCGTCCGCATGAGGTCGCGGTCCACATAGTCGTGCGCGAACTGTGACGAGGCGAGGTTGATGGCCTCGAGGAAGTTGCCGTACATGGCCAGCGACGACTCAGCCTTGACGCGGTTGGACGCGATGCCCTTGCCGCCGTTCTCCTCGGCCAGCGGCACGAACGCGCTGTTGGCCTTTTGGTGGTGCAGGCTAATGTCCCGCCGGAAGAAGTTGAACTCGCGCTTCAGCTGGTTGAGGATCGTCGTCCACTCCCCGCTCGCCATCTCACTGACGACGACACGGTAAAAGTCCTTGTACGGCCTGCGGTCGCCCGATATTTGCACGCCTGTGTAGTAGTCCCCATGCAGCGTGCTGCTCGCCAGCTCCGTCGTCAGGCCCGTGTCGTATTCCACCCTCGCGAAGAGCACGATGCTCACGAGGTGCTTGGCCTTGAGCTTGGCCCATTTCTTGAACAGCGCCGGCAGGAAGCCGTTGACGACCTTGTTGAAGAGGATCTCACCGGACCCCTCCGAGTCGAAATCCCACATCTCCCGCGCCATCTGGATGAACAGCACATACCGCGCAGACTCGCTCCGGAAAATCGGTCTCGTATTCCTCGTGAAGAAGGCGGAGTGCGTCTTTCGCCCGTCCACGAATACTGCCGTGACCTGCGCTTTTATCGTGCCCATGAACAGTATCGACTGGCCCTTGTAGACTGTCCTTTCCGTAAGTTCGCCGATGGCCAGGCGCCACATGTCGGATCGCGAAAGGTACTGGTCCTTGAACGAGAGCTCAACGTGCGAGGCGGCCGTCGCGGGGTTGTCAGCATCCACCGGCGTCAAGAGTACCTGCGTGCCCTTTTTCATGCCAAAGGCATCTGCGATATGTTTGACAACGTAGATGTCGACGTTGGGCAAGCGGCTCTTGAGCTCCTTGGACATCTCCTTTGCGACGCAGAAGTACTTCTTCCCTAGCGTCGCTCCCTCGGGCGCCGCATCGCCTTGTCCCGCTCCCGCACCTGTGTTGTTCGCAGCATTCCCGCCGCGCGCCGTCGCATGGTCCTTTGTCGCAGTCTTATCGCCCTCGGTCTTGATCACGGTGATGGCCACGAGGCTCCCAGGTCTGACATCGCCCTTGATCACTTCCGGGCTCAGAAGCACCTCGTCGCGCGAGTATCCCTCGTTGACTCCGACGGTGCACCTCCGCTCAAGTCGGCGCTGTTTCACGGAGCTGGACGAGTTGTCGCCGCGGATGGTCGAGGCACTGGAGACGGTATCGGGGGATCGGGGCGAGTCGACGGACGATGTCGCGGAGGGCGGTTCGAGACTGGTTCGGCTGAACTGGCGGAGGTGGGAGGACCAGTTGGGTCCCTTGCGTAGAGAGGGTGCCGCACCGGCATTGCGAGGCATCGTGGGAGCAGAGCGTCTTGGTGGTGATGGTGTTAGTGGGGGAGGGGGGAGAGGGCTGCTTGTTGCGCGACGAGGGAGGGGCTCGTCAACGGTGGCCTGTGTGGAGGTTTCGCAGTAGCATTTCGTTGCTTGCGTTCAATTATACTGAGTCTATTCGTATGTTTCGTTGGTTATGGGATCGTGGACCTTGCGAATGGCTTCAATCGGCTGTAGTTGAAGCTCCTAGATTGACCGTAGTGGCATCGTCACAGGGTGCAGCTCCGTCGCGACGGCAGAATTGTGGCGCCGAGCTCTCACTACGCCACACCGCCTGCCGCTCTGGCTTAGACAATCCCCAGGTTTTCGACGCTCGCATCTCCCAGGGTCTCACCTGGTCTCAATTGAGCCTATCCAATGTGAGACCCACGGCCTGTCATCGTGTTAGCCGCACAGCACAATGCATTCTTTTTGAAGGGACTTCGTTTCTGTATCAGACTCAGCTTGTGATTTTCAAGAATACTCTCAAATCAGAAGTTAATTGAACTAATAATACTCATCCAGTATTTAGAAACTTGAAATTGACTTGACTATTCGTGTAAGTCAAAACTACAAGGAATGGCCTCTTTCCGGACTCCCCAACTCTGTTTATGTGACCTCGCTGCCTCAGAAGTCTTGATCGCGCTGACCTCTTTCGGTTTACCGTCACACGCTCTCGTACTAAAGCAGTCAGCCACGTCAACTCAACACCATCCAGATATACAACGAAGCTCGTTCACCGTGAGCAACTGACAACCAACTTGTGACACCTTTAATCACCCCGAAGCAAACACTCTGATCCCCTTTCATTCCCGCCAAGGAGGAGCATCGCACAGTGACAACGCAGCTATCCGAATCGATGCCACTAAGTCAACCACCAACCTTTCTTCCTACTCGCCTTCCTCCAAAAGTCTCAATAAACATATTCCATGATCCCAGTATGAACAGGCGAAGTTGCGTAATATCTAAAACCTACGAGTCATCAGCCCCAAACTTTGTTTATGGAACAGAAACAACTTCCGTGCTTCCGTTTCCTTCCCGTGCCTGTATGTGCCAACCCGGGCCGGGACAGAGACATCTTTCTCGTGTCTGTGTGTGTCCCGAGTCTTGGGGAAATGACCCGGCTGTACGAGACTCTCATCCGTCGTCTCTTGTGGCTGTACGACCGCTGTCCAAAGCTCTCTTCCGTTGATGGAAAACAAAAAGATCTTGACTATAGCGCGACTTAATAGTATCCGCCTTACGCATGTCGACGCTTCCTCCTCCTTTTTGTCCTTGTTGAAGTTCAAATCAAATCTTTGTAGTGGTTCCACGATAACTTCTCCCGAACGTGGAAAAGCCCGACGAGTATGTCTCGCTTCAAGATCAACAGAAAGCGCCGTATGATCGCCGCAATAGCGATATCTGGCGGCTTCTTCATCGCAGAGCTGGTCGTCGGGTACCGCACAAAGTCTCTCGCTCTTATAGCAGACGCCTTTCACTACGTAAGACGGCGAAAGCCAATTCCCCTATTTCTTAATGTTAGTTCAGTCGGTGTATCTGACAAACGATCTAGATGAATGACCTAATAGGGTTCGCCGTCGCCTTGATAGCTTTGGTAGTAAGTCCTCCTTCTGAAAACCTAACCAAGCCGCACTTGACCTAAAGACTGATATACCAAAAAGGTTTCAGAGAGGAAAACCCCTCCGCCTAAATCCCTACCCTTTGGCTGGAATCGCGCCCAGGTGTTGGGAGCCTTCTTCAACGGCGTGTTCCTGCTTGCGTTGGGTGTCAGCATCCTCCTCCAAGCGATTGAGAGATTCACTCAACTTCCAAGTGAGTCTTGGGCCTTTCTTGCCTGCCAGTCCTGATGGGCTTGGCCTTTGGCAAACGGTAGTAACGAGCTCAAAACTGTTGACAAACATTCACAGATCTCAAAGACCCAATACTGATTCTAATCATGGGCTGCGTCGGCCTCGGGCTCAACATGATAGTCCTGAGTTTCCTCCACGGTCAGCAAAATCTTCAACCAAGCCGTCTACAACGAATCTGAACCCAAGACACAGAACCACATCATCACGAACATACCCGAGAAACCACACACCCCGCCGAGGAGTCAAGAGACCCCCTCTCGCCCACCAATACGCCTATACCAACAACATCATCTCCCAAGCACCACAACCACACCCACCCCCTCAACATCAACATGCTAGGCGTCCTCCTCCACGTCCTAACCGACGCCCTGAACAACCTCTCCGTCATAATCGCCGCCCTCATCATCTGGAAATCTCCCTCCCCCAACCGCTTCTACGCCGACCCGGCAATCGGCATCTTCATCGCCCTAACAATCACGCTCTCCGCTGTGCCCCTCTGCCGGCGCGCAGGCCAGATCCTGATGGAGAGCGCGCCTGCGGGCGTTGACGTGGAGTTTGTCCGGGGGGAGATGCTAAAGGTAAGGTAGTTTTACCTTTCCATATCATTATGTATTTTACTCGCCTTATACCCCAAAGATTCAGAGATAGGCGGCACAAAATGCGTGCGTGTATCTTAACGTGTATAGAGGGGGGGGGGGGGGTGTGGATGTGGATGTTGGAAGCAGGCGATATGGAAAGAGCAAAACGGACAAGACTGACAATACGTCCTCAGGTCCCCAGGGTCCAAGAAGTTTCAAACTTACTCGTCTGGCAACTAGACCAGACAACAACCCTCGCAACCGCACACGTCACCATAACGGAAGACAGCATCAGCAGCTTCGCGTCTACAGCCGATGCTATTGACTTAAGATTACAACAATTCGGGATCCGCTCCGTCGCACTGCATCCTACCACCACACAGCAACGACCGCACCACGAAGTCCAGGAAGGAATGAAGATATCTTGATACTCAATGTTTCGAGGTAACGTATAGAGCTGAAAGCAGCTAGCTTCCTACAACCAGTGAAATGTTGCTTCAAGGCCATGGGAAGGTTGGACCGGACTAGATTGCGTACGCCCAGTCATCTATCCTCCTCTAAAATTTCATATTATTGGCCAGGAATCATCTTTGCACGATCGCGTACAACTCCTCATAAGCCTCACCAAAAGAAACCACCCAATTCAAACCACATTCACATGATGACAAAAAAAAAACCACGCCCGCAAAACGCTGGAAAGTAAGACTGCTGCCTGTATGCATACAACCTCCCACCTCCGTCACACAACGGAGGAACCGTCATCGTCACATCAGAATACTGAACCCACCCCCCAAGATGATGTGAGAAAAGAAAAGAAAAGCCTTACCACCTTTCCAACTCCCAAAAAGAAATCTTGGCACAGCCTCATATGTAGGGACCTCTTACCACCACATCATATCAAATCAAATCAAATCAACCAAGATGGGTCTCACTGCTGAAGAATCGATACGACCACGTCCTTCCGGGCAAGGTCACATCGTTAGCCCCTCCGTGCCGCCTCTTTGCCTCGCAAGTATAAGCAAGAAAAAAAAACCCCACCGTCCGACTCGTCGTCCAGCCAGTCCGAGTAACAAGACATGGATAACATCATCACCGTGGTTTCTCTCACCGAATGATTGGTCATGTCCGGGGGTCCAGGGAACAAAGTCACAAGACGGAGACTTGTAAGACCAGGGTAGCAATAGCAAAAACGGCACAGGAAAAAAAAGCTACGTCTTTGAGCGGAAGTGCCTCACCTCACTCAGCTGGCGTTTTGCAGTCGCCATTCCCAAGTCCAAGACGAAAGAAAGGAGAACCAGCTTTCAAAATCTGATCGAGTACCTTATCAAAGATTCCAAGGACACCAAGCTGAGCTGAAAAGGAAGGACAAAACATCTACCCACCTGACCACGCCATCCACCACATAGCATTACCTGACTAGGGCGGCGTGGGGATGTGTCAAACTCGATGAACAATCACGTTGAAAACACATTGGTCATCGCCATTCTGCAATGCTATCGCCTCATCACTAGCGCTATCTCTCACCGTGGAGATTGAATTGATATCGCCGTCCCGATACCGTGGTAAGCGGTAAGCCTGGTCTCCTCTGCGGGGGACGGGAACCCGCCCCTCGGACGCCCCCGAAATGGCGTGGGGGGAGGGAACCAACAAATCTGCCGAAAAGTGGGATGATTGCATCCATGACATTGATCCAGAGGAGGGAAACGTTGCAGAATAATGCTGCATTTTCCCAAACTGCAGAATTGCAGAACCGAGATCGACCTTAGCGGCAATGGTTCCTTGGAACGATGCGAATCCAAGGATCCGAGGTGTCCTCGGTTGCTACATTCCCACCTACGAGCCTGTATGTGTACGGTGTAAGTGGCTAGGGAACCGAAATCATAGGCTGGACGCTTCCAAGGTCAGCAAAAGTGCCGGTGTGTCCTGCACCCTCACATCGGCCTCGAGCTATGGCGCCGCACCCCGGGCCGAGTACAACGGGACAGTCCGTAGCTGACATCCATCCAGTACCTTTCGATTCCTATGAGTCAAAGATTAGTGCGTAGGTCTGTTTGGTTGGGCACACGAGAGGAAGCGAGAGTGCGACAGAGGAACAATAATGTGTGGCCCTATCAGCCTTTCGGCTGCGCTAATCCTAGGCATGCAGAAGCCGACCGCCTGTTGCCTACGTCCCGATCATGGCCGCTCTTCAAACTTGTGTGAGCGCGAGATATGTTAGCTCCAAAAGCCGTTGTGATAACCGTCGGGAACGCTACCATGATCCATGGCTGCTGACATCCCTAGACATGTAACCGACATGCCACTTTGAGGAAGATCGTCGCCATCACCGCCGTGCGTAAGCCGGGCTGGCCCGGCCCGTGGACTGAACTGACGGGGAAAACCGAGCCGGACAATGATACCTATTGGCAAGCAAGAAGGATGGTGGGAGCTGGCCGTCGGTCTCCAAAAAGGCAAGGTTGGAGAAATCATCGGAATTATCAGGGACAAACCATCGACCGTTGAGACACGGGACGATGGTCGGTTGTTGCCGGTAGGTGTGGCGAACACTATGCGATAGATGCGTGGAAGATAGGTACAACCAAACTTCTATCCCAATTTGCGGGAATTCCGAGTAAATTCACCGGCTCTTCTGGATAAGTGGCGAGTTGCGAGTTCTGAATTGCTACGAGACCATAGAAATCGCAGACTTCGGTGAGATATAGCCAACGACAGCAACGCTCGCAAATTGACAAAAGCCCGAACGGGAGAAGACCACTTCACGGCTGATGTCACTGGGATGGTGAATACGGGGAACCGTTCCGCTGGGTGTCCTCAGTCGCATGGTCATGTCTGAGAATTAGGATGGCGAATGGACCGATAGGAGGTTCCCTTTACCCCGGCGCTGGACACACCGCTGCCTCTTTGCCCGGCTTGGGTGGCCAATAACGGATAGCTTATTACCTGGCATGTTGGATAATGAGATCATACCACGGCCTTATTGATCAAGAAAGTTTGTAGTGTAGCTTCGCGGTCGTGGAGTTGGATATCGGTGAGGCAGGTTGCAGCTAGACTTTGCGCGAGAACGCCCGCTTCGCCGCGTGAATGCTTCCGGTTCCCGCTTGACATCTGCGGCTTGTCCGGGAGATGATAGAAGCAAACCCAGGCAGCAGGACCATAGCATAACCCAGTCGAGAAGCCAAGGTGAGGCTTGCTGTATTAATGAGCGTCTTGCAAGGACAAACCGGCTGGCGACGGAAGACTACATACGACCCCCGGTGACCCGTGCGCTTGCGACTTGCTGGGCAGCGAGTGGCCCAGGAGCCTGGGAATTGGGCTCAACTTTGAAGCGGCCCCTGAGATAGACAGCCCTGAGAGAACTTGTTTGCCCGATTGTCGAGGATATACAAGCAGTGCCTCAGTAAAGGTGAGGATCATGAGCATCACGCGGGACATCTCCGGGATGCATGATCGAGTGCCTATTGTGGAAGGTGTATCCAGCATCGCGACCTGATCAGCGGGCCCTTGATTGGCGCAGGTAGACCGTTTCGCTTGGCTGGGAGTAACCACAAGCAATGAACCTCTGGAAAGGGCCGATGTGTGTCAAGATGGATGGATTTAGCGAGGATGTCTGCTGCCCGGCGGGGCGGTGCGTGTGTCCATACTCCATGTCCATGAATCGGTATCACGTCGTATGGGAGACGCTCGGTTCGATTTGCGCCTCGCGTCGCAGTTGGAGGCGTGGTTTGAGGCTAACAAGAATAGGTGCGCGACGGGTGCGACTTAGAATGCGATACATGGTTATGACGCTGTTCAACGATAAAGTGCTGGCAGACAAAATTTCAAGCGAACACATGGCGACTAGGACATCTACGCCGAGTTCCCATAGGAGACGCAGCTGTTAGCTTGCAGCCGCCCTACGTGTATGCGTCTCATCTGCAGCTTGTGCTGCATTTCAACTTGGCACTGGCGCATGGGAGGCGGCGCCTCTACCCGTAGGGGTCCCGACACATCGCCGTGGCGGTGCTACTCGAGACCAGTACGTGTACCAGGCGGGTATTCTGGTGTCACCTGGTGTGTGACTCAAGACGTAGACGACGTGTTTCCATAGTAGATGGTCTCTTTCAGAACATAATCAACAATGATCACGATGGCCACGGCACTGGCCAGAAAAGAAGCTCCCGGGGATGACCGTGAGTGACAGTTATTCTAGGTTGCGGTTCCGAAAGCCGGACAGAAGGCATATACCCTGCTGAGTTTGGGCAACGTTGGGTCGCTGGTCTGTGAGGAACAATAAGGGAAGGTCGGTGAAGCAGTCGCGTGTCGGAAAGGGACGTGCAATTAGGCTGCTGGACGCACCGAGGTCCTTGGCCGGTCGACAAAAGCGAGCATGGGGAAGCTTGATCGGAGCATGGTTGGGCGACCGAGGCAATATGGCGGGAAAAGACGCGGTGAGTTTGTCGGGATGATGGTGCGAGTGACAACCCCCTGTGTTGATGGCTTGTCGCAGTGACACGCTGGGAGATGATGCCTGTCGTATGGAGGTACATACATGCCTCTTGGAGAAGATAGGCATATCCTGGAGTCTTGTTGGAGAGTGTTGCACCGATAATTCGAACTCCAAGGTGTCGGTCTCTCACCGAGGAGGATAATCTCGCTGAGTGACTGGAATCTGGAGACTGGAGCTCCGCACCGTGCGCTGCCGTTGTAACCTGATGTATGTTTCTTATCGGCCAGACGCTCGGTCATCCGCCCCAGACCGAGCCACTTTCAACCAGCACGATGGGATTCCGCTTCTATCTGGGACTTGCGGTGCTGCTCCACGCTGCAGTCATGTCGAACAGCAACATGGTTAACGTTGACTCGCATCGCTTTCCCCTCGTGCCCCTCCATTTCTGGTTTGTTTGGACCCGTGAGCATTGTTTCCTGTGGTATTGGAGGGGCTGGCCACAGCTGGAGTAATTGCGAGCGATGAATGGGGCGGTGGCTGGCAGACGAGGACAAGACGAGCAGTCATTAGTCGGGAACAGGACGCTTTTGCCAGCGACTGATATAATTTGGGGAACATTTATCGGCGTAGCAGGGGTATGCTAGGCCTCGCTGGCTGCTCGTGGTGGGTATCCGTAGAGGAGTGACAAGCAGGCAGAAGATTTACGCCTTGTTGCCAGGGAGGCGTGAGCGCAGAGATTGGGGGATGATCGACGAGGTCCGTCGGGGTCGGCTCCGAGAACCAGATGCTGACGGATAAGTGCTGGCATGCATTCGTCGAGTGACCTGATGTTGCAGGTAAGACTCTATGCCCTGTTTCTATTAACTCTGACAGTCGCACGGAGTTTCTGAGACGAGGTATCGTAAGGAATCCATCTCTTTGACGTAGTCGGTGCCCAAGTGAAGTTGAACTTGGTTGTGTATGTTTGAAGTCGGGCTGTGCCATGGGACAAGATGATGAATGCTCCCTCGGTGGCCTCAAATGACCGGGGGAAGAGGCACGGACAAGACGACGGGCGCAAGAAGATGACAAGCGAAGCGAGAACAGCCCAACATGCTCCAAGTTGATTGACATCAGCGTCGGCCACGAGGGTATAAGCCTGAGCCAGGGACAGACGAATGCTGACGCTGGTTCGGGGAGTTACGGTCAGCAGTACTGATGGTTGTCGTCGTCGTCGTCTTGGAGAGCAGGGTCACCAATGATGCTCTTGTTGCAGGGCAGTTGTTGATGAGAGTGAAACCTCGAGGTGGGATTAATGCAAGGGGTAGCCGATGAAAACAGACAGGGCTGACGAGGCAGAGAGGAAAAGACTGGTGCGCAAGAGAAAGAGAAATTCGACATGGGATATTGGAGACATCCAGAATGGTACGTACTGCGTATTGCCGTATGGACAGGAGAGGAAGTCACGGGGACAATGGAAACTCGGAGGAAGGAAGGAAGGAAGGAAGGGGTCGCCTGGGGACGGAATTAGAGGGCTGCGGATTGGATGACGGCAGGCACGGCTGAAGACGTTTGGGGCTTTGGGGACCACCCGTGACCCGGGATGCTCGATGCAATTTACCATTTGAACGGGACAGCACACATCCTGTCACCTGTATTTTTGAGGCTATGGTAGGTACTTGGCACGATAAAACGGAATGGAGCAGCTACACGGACGAGGCGCATTACCACTCGTGTGTTGGTTGTGATGGTCACCGCCTGTTGTTGTTTTGGATACCTAGAATTGGTATGGTGAGGTATCGCGGTATCCTAGGGATGAGTGTAATAAGAGAGGAGGGCAATAGTAGAACATGGGGAAGTGAGGGAAGAGAGATCACGAGACACCAGTTCGCCCCAAATTCAGGGTCCTCGAGTCACAAAACATGGGAACATGGGGTGCGAGTGTCAAATGGGGGCTAATTACCCCGCCGCTGTTCAGAGTGGTCGAACTAGCTTCTACTTGTACAATTGAGTCTAGGGAATTAATTGCACAAGACTTGAGATTCGCTGATTTGGACGAGTCGGTTGAGACATTACCTAAGGGGACCATTCCTCTACCGGGTCTACCCCGGCTTGATACACGTTTTTCCGTCTTCTTTTCCTCTTCTGTTCGTCTTTTGTATTTTATTTTCCAATCTCAACTCTGCTCTGTTTCTCACGCTCTCTTTCACGACCCCGTGATACGACTTTTGACCTTCTCTTATTCCAATCAGCAAGCAGCATCTTTTCCCAATTCGCCTCCCAGGTCCACTGTGTTGCTCGAATGCTACCCAGTTTTAGAGGGGCAGAGTGAGAGACGTCAAGTAGACGTGGCGCTAGAGCAGAGATGCAGTAGCGAACGAGGCGACACGCGCAAGTGGCCTACGCAGTACCTGTATAAAAGATACGTACCTCGGATAGTACTGGATGCAGAGTGGACGCAGTGTGGTAGTGGGCGGGTTTTAATGCAGTCGATGCACGGCAGAGCAAGGGCTGTTTTGTTCACCGCATTTTTGAAGATACATTGAAAGCCCAATTACACAGCATCGGCAGGCGGCAGCCCCCTACCTAAATGTATCTTATGTAGACTACTGCGTAAGGTAAGGTAGGTTTCCCCCATGTTGTTATGCCCTGCTGCCGCTCCCCATACCAGTATCAGCTCTCGGGAAAAGACACTGCGAGATGGGAGGCGGAAAGAAGGAGGGATCTTCAGGACGTCCAACGACAAGCCATGCACAATGAGGTTTTGGCGGGAAGAGATGAAATGATGTGGCTGCTGCCGCCGCCTCTGCCGTTGCCGTTACTGCTGCCGTTGCCATAGGCGCTGACCAAGCCTGACAGAGTCAGAAGTCAGACATGCATCATCTTGCCGTTCACAATGTGCCTCGAGCTAAGGTACACAAGAAGGGCAGGGTCAGGTACCTCCACCACCTACCTTGCCTAAAGTGAGGTATTCTCGGGATGTGCGAGCTAAGGTATCGTAGTACGTACCGGCCGTGCCACATTACTTACATGCCTCATTCCAAGTTTCTCCGAAGAATACCTCGGGGTGTAGCTGCGATGGGAGGTAAGGAAGTCAGAATGCAAGAGTCAAGGATGGAAAGAACGAGATACTGCCGGAAAGAAAGATGGCGAGGGAAGTGACAACGACGCGGAAATAACCCAATGGCAGACAACCTAACAACGAGTCCATATTCTGATAGATACTTGACACAAAGTACTGTCCACTTACATAAGGCACGGTTACCCACTGCGTAGTAATCCAGATGCTATTAGTGTACCAGTCCCAGGGCTAGGCCGCCAAAGGGCAGATGGAAAAACAGAGAGCACGATCCAATGCTCCATTCCAGCTCCACTACCCAAAGATAATCCACCTCAAAAGGTCCCAGTCGTTGGGCCGTCGTTGTGAGCATCGCCGCGTTATGAGCGTGGCGTGGAGCGGGCATCGGGGATGAACCGTGAAGACCAGGTTCCTCTCACTTGCAGTATGGAGCACTGCGTAGTACCTAAGGTAGGCTTGAAGTACCTTATGGAGTAGTACCTTACTGCATAGTACCTTAGAAAGAGAGAGATATGGAAGAAGAGAGACTTGATACTCCAACGAGTACGTACCCCACAGCTGCCGCTCCACCCACGATTGCGGCACTTCCGTCCCTCTCTCTCTCTCTCTGCCCAGTGCCATGTGCCCGCAATTACAGCTGCTGCTCTGCTCTACCTTACCTTACTCTCTCCTCCTC